GGCCTTTATAACATCGACGACCTTGCCAATAATTTTTCCGTCCTAAAGAAATGCAATGGAAAACTGGATTGTTTGATTTACGAAATGCTGTTTATTAGAAAGAAGAAACCTAACCTGAACCCGCAATCAGATTCCATCCGTGCAAAACTATTTGTTTAGACAAATATGTTAATGAACAATCACACCTCTCACCGCATATATAACACTGTTGAACCGTTATTTTCTTGTCACTTGATAATGATGTCATGACGACATTGAAACGTTGTGTAAAGTTTCTATCGCTCATTTTTATTTTGAAATGTTTATAGCAAATAGAAGATGAAATTCCACGTTCTCTGAGGAAAAAACATGCATGCATGAAGCCTTAAAGAACTGCTTCAAGATGCGAATGCATTAATGCAGTTTTTCTAGACCTCAAAAGGAATACCATCTTCTATTCATTTGAGAATAATTATAGCATAAAAAAGTAAAAATATTTACCTCTGAGAAGGGGCAGTGATTGCACTGGCAACACAACATCTGGGACATGTACATGCTCTATGAATTTCCAGCTGTGCATCTATAAATTAAACAATAATGCATGCTCAGCCCTGAACATGATATACATGAACAGCAGCAGATGAATGTGTTGTAACTAAAGGATGACCGGGAGGTACATAGACAAATTTGGGATTTGAAATCTGGGAGCTACCATGAGCATTTTTCAGGTTAGAAATCTTGTGGTGACTATTTTGGGTACAGTGAAATGCTGTTTATAAAACAGTAACCCACTGGCCATGCAAATTTTGCCGTATTAACAGGGTGGCCATGGGTGCCAAGTCACAAATCCACAAGGCTGCCAAATGTTCTGGGGTTGTCCCAGAGGTAGGCAACTGCCCACACCTTGTTGGTAATTAAATTTTAAATGGCTCACCTCTAGAATAAAGACATGAGCAAATGCCAAGCTATTGCCTGCAAGGGTTGGGGTGAACTCCACTGAAATTTTAAACTATACATCCACTTGAAGAAGTTCACTCCAAAGGATTGGTGGAGCTGATAAAATTGCGCATAACTGCAGGCTAGTTTTTGACCACGGCTAGGTGGGTCAACCCACCTATGGAATCAAGTTCCATGGCCTTAATATGTCCATCCAATGACATGTTCATTTCACTTTTCACATATTTTTATCCAAATGTCCCTGTGGTACTTTGGCAAACAACTACTACATGACTCATACTCAAATAATATAAAGCAAAGACAAAATTTAAAATAATTTTATCATGTGTCAAAAAACCACTTCGAGGTGTGTCAACAGGAGTCTTGCATGACCCTCTTTATTATGTCCTTTCAATCAAAATGACATAATAATGACTTACAGAAACAATACCCACCTGCACAAAATAACGAAAACTGAAAATACATACTGAATAATAACTTAACTGAATAAAGTTTGCAACAATCCTATACACCAATATTCAAAATGCCAGTCGGCTTTAGTCATTACAAACATTGTAAAGCGCCATTGAGCTCTGAAAATGAGCGCTATATAAATTCATGTACATGTATTGTATTGTA